CTATCTCGTTCAATGGTAGCTCAGTAAATTTGACACCGCGTCTGGCACAGCAGTGGCACTCGCAGAAGAGATGAACGCAAACTTCCGGCGGACGTTTTACGCGATATATGAGCGGTCACCGAAACTAGAACCCGGCAATAAAGTGTTCAATGCTATACAATGAATCAGCACGAGATTTTTGAAGTCTAACTGGAACTATGGAGGTAACACAGGCGGGCTAATTGATCCAAACGAGTTCAGGTTTTAGGGTTGGGCTCTTTGAAAAACACTAACACCTGTTACTAACAAATTGATTATTAATCAATAATAACCTTACCTCGACTTCCCCATCTATCGGGAGCTTAGACCAAGGATCTGGTTGCGCAGCGAGAGGCATGTTTCCCGCAATGAACACTTATTTTTCACAGGGATAGATTCTGTTATTGCTTATCAGCAGAGACACTAATGTTGCGACATCCACACACGCTAACATCACAATCACGACTGAGTGCAACACAACAACCGCCCCCTCCCCCTACCCTGGCGATAAAACTATAGATGATCAAATACAAGAAGCTTAGTATCAAAGTCAAAAGATATTCAAGTTCATTTTTACACTTCTCAAATGAGAAGTGCACGCAAGCACAATTAGTCTTATAACATAAATAAAATAACAAAATATACGATAGGAATTTCTCCGAAGTAAGTATTTACTACAATTGAATTTTTTATGTGTTCCAGCTTGTAAGGTTCATAGTGGTATATAGATATTGCATTGATTGAACATATCAGGTTGTTACATTCTCAAAAACCTTAGTTTTTTGCTGGCTGCTAATAGTATTTATCTTACCCATGCTTACGAAAAATGAGTTCAGTGCTTATGTTTATTGTGTGGTCACCGAGACTTGAAAAGGACAAAAATTTAGTGGAGAATGTTCACAGACATGCAAAAGGGTAATTCCAGGTTAAAGGGACCGAATCGACACTTCCGCGGACTCGCCTGCGAACTGGCCTGCGAACTCGATTACAAAACCTAATTTCACCTTCAACTCAACTGGAAGTGTCCGACCGGTCTTAAAGAGCAAGTTTTATGAAGAAAGATTAAAGTTTATGAAGCTTCCTAGTCTCCGTTATCGTCGCCTGCGTGGTGACCTGACTGACCTCATTGAAGTATACAAGTATACCCACGGTTTATACAAGGTCCCAGAAGGATTACTAGAATTTGAAACAAGGACCAACACCAGGGGCCACGGCTATAAACTAAAAAAACTGCTGTGCCACTTCTCTCGCGACAATATTTCTTCTCGCTTCGAGTCACCGACATGTGGAACAGCCTCCCCGAAGATATTGTTGACGCTCCGAGTATGAACGCGTTCAAGAACAGACTAGACAAGGCCATGCAGGAGCGTGTGTTTAGTCTTGAAATGCCTCGTACCCTACGGAACAACTGATATCTAGAAGCGATTTTAAATCTACCGTCCGTTAAAAAGATTTGATCAAAAGGCCAGTTTAGTCAAGAAAAGTACAATAATCAGCGACAGGCCTATCCAGGCCTATTCTTCAATGCCGAAGATATGACACTATACTATACTAATACTATACTATACTATACTATACTATACTATACTATACTATACTATACTATACTATACTATACTATACTAATACTATACTATACTATACTATACTATACTATACTATACTATACTATACTATACTATACTATACAATACTATACTATACAGTCTATACTATACTATACTATACTATACTATACTATACTATACTATACTATACTATACTATACTATACTATACTATACTATACTATACTATACTATTGTTCTTTCCATTGAGCTGCACTTCTTCTGCACAAATGCTTTTCTAAAAACCAATTTACGGAGATTTGCACAGAACAAGCACTCTTTTGTGCACTTTCACAAGCGTACAAATAATGAATGAATCTTTGAATAAAACTTATATATCAGATTCATTCCGAGTTCTTCGATGAAAAAACAATATTTAACATGTCGTACAACAAATTTAACGCTGTAGATTCGCTAATAGCATTTGACCTTGAATCCGCGATGTGGGAGAACCCATTTAAACTGCCTTTTATCACGCAGCTCTAGAGCCTCACCCTGACAAATTGACACGTAAGCTTCGTGCATGTATAAAACAAAAATATCTGGCCCGAACGAATTTAAGTTAAAGCCAATGACAAAAATGAATTCTGGCAGCTTTTTATTGTTAAATCTTGGGGAACAAGTTTAAGATATAATCGGACTCAACCACAACATGTTGCTTACATACACACATTAAATCTATACATCTCCGCACTACAATACATCGTTTAAATTCTGTGATTCATTTATAGTTATTCAAAAATATTGTCATATACATGGATCTATATGCTATATTGAGTTACTACTTTGTTATTATTAATATTATTACTACTTTATCATTATTGGTCATATAACGCAAGAGTTTCGTAAGACTGGCAATCGGTTTAGTCATGAATCACTCATCCACCTCAGACGGTTCAGAACTACTGTTGAGGAGCAACGCAGTAGCCTCATATGAATTATAAATATTATATTATTTGATAAGCCAATAACATTTAAGCTATGTCAGCCGAAATTAATATATTCAATATTAAAGTGTTGTTATTGATTGTTATTTTCAGTTGCTGGTTAATATTTAAAAATTAATAAAATAATTAACTAACTAATTTATAAAATAATTGGTTATTTAATTAAACTAACTAATGCTAAAACTGTATTTACATCAGTCACTTAGTTCTCATAACGTGATGTAAAAGTATTGATGTTTAAGTTGCTATCGTCATCTTACTTGGATTAAAGTTAATTTTGGGTCGGGTTAAAATTGTTGTTTATATTGTTGTTTCTGGACATGCCTTGGTACACTCAGAGAAATGAGCGAGACATTGTCAAAGTATTAATGCACTCTTTGGCCCGTTTGTGGGTCATCCTGACCCACTCAGCTCGGCCCGATAAAAAGCAGTACTCGTGAGCTCTCTGCTCTCGCTGTGTGCAAGCAAGTGGGTCTATATTTGGACAGTATAACCCTCTCATTTTTCTGAATGTGCGTAATTAGTATTCGATAAGCGTGTGCTTCAGTAAACTGTAAACATAAGCTCGAAATTTCCAGAAACCTTACTGGACTGAGACGACCAGGTTCTGGGTTCCTAAATACTGTCGGAATGGTGACTAAACCATGGTTAGAATGGTAGTAACCATAGGCAGGAATGGTATGAATGGTTCATTTCATGGAAGGAATGGTAAGAACCATGGTAGGAATTGTTCCGACCATCGTAGGAATGGTAGGAACTATGTTAGGAATTGTAGGAACGGTTCCTACCATCGTAGGAATGGAAGGAACTATGGCAGGAATTGTTGGAATGGTTCCGACCATCGTAGGAATGGTTCTGAAGATTATAACACAACACGCTCTGGTCGTAAGATATGCATTCTCTCTTTTAATATTTCCATTGTTTGATGAATTCTGGACGCTTTGTTTGCGACCGAGCCTTTCGCGATTAGAATTTATAACGACATTTGATTGCTTCAATTGTTTACATTGCGTGGGAGTATTGCGCCGCTCAGGATAGCTGGAGTGTGAAACTTTTATAATGTCTTTTATGCAATCAAATTATCTTCGTGACTATTATAGCTTTTTAAAATTGATAAATTTTAATGAAATGCATTTTTGGACAACTTTCATTCAATATAGACAACCGATCAACACGTTGAACATTTTTTTCTCCTTAATCCAATACATTTTGCGAGCCGGTAATTTATTGACGAAAAATCAAACCTACAATAAATATATCCTGACTTGATTTGGCCGGTATATACAAATATATAAGGCAGACAACTAATATATTATGAGCTTTGAATGAATACTACCTATTTATTTACAATTTCAGACATATATTCTTTAGAAAACAACATGAGAAATTAGAATTGGATAGCGGTATATAATTGTTTATACAAGATAAATAAAAAACAGATTTCAAGTAGTGATTTTGATATGTAACGACGTCTAGAATACAACTACATTAATTAAATAATTACCAAGTTATAAAAGGCATTAAACCTACCACAGTCATCCGAAAAATTGTTCGACCACCTAAATATGTTAATTAAATGCAGTCTCTACTGAATAATCTAACTCGAATAATTATCTCTCAAACTTGAATAACACAAACAATCACTAGACATAGAGCGAAATTGAATAAAACTGGTCAGAAAACTCAAGTAAATGATACCTTCGAAGGCCATAATGACCATCATCTTTTAAAAATCACGTGGGGATGACAAGCTGTTATGAGAAAATCATAGTGTTCGTGAGCCGCAAAAGTGTCGATTCAGTGAGCAACTGGTATTCTGACGACATCACGAGTCCATACCTATGACGAAACCATGACGAATTTATTTTGGATGTACATGAATAGTAACCAAACATCCGTAATTCGATTTCGAAACAATTCCGAAGAAAATTTTTCAACATTATCAATATAATGAACATTTGAAAATTTGTTCATTAAATTGACTTTATTATAATAATGCCTAAAATAGCTGATGCAATCAATGATATTAGTCCGCGTTCCATTCCAGATAAATGGCCAAGTAGGCTTTCTAGACTAAAACTTAGATTCAGCTGCGATAATTTTTCATATCCAAATCATTATTAATACCTTTCATTGTATAAAATATTCATTATGCGGAGAACTAGTTTTTAGGGTAAAAGTTCAACGTAAATTTCGAGAACTTTTGTTTGGCCGCATCCGTCCATCATATATCACCGTCATCAACAAACAATAGGAATAATAATTATCAAATAAAATTCATTGACATAATCTATATAGAAAATAAGTATCTATCGAATAAATAGGTTATTAGGCATTATTTGTCTAGGGTCTTTTTTAAATATAGGGAAATTTTTGTCCACGACCTGATGTTTCGGACTATCGGTTCTTCCTCGCCATTTGTCCTTGAGAATCGAAGAAGTGAAGACGTGCAGTACTTGTGAATATTGTTTATCGCAATGGCCAAACCACATGTGCAATGTTAGTGTGTTTTTTAAAAATGTCTTCTAAGCGTCAATTACCGCATTTACATCGCGTAAGCTTTTTTAGTTTGCCATCTGATCGTATTTGCAACGGATACTCGCTCCACAAACTTTCCGCCATATTACGCCTAAATAAAGTGTTGAAGTCGAGAAACTGGCCTTGGAGTTGGAACCTTAGTTGGAAAGGCGGCGTCGGTGCAGACATTGTTTTGAAGTCTTGTGTAGTTTGTAGAAGTTTATCGATCCGAATTTTCGATTGCAATTCTAGAACTGTTGACACTACAATCAGATAGAAGAATTTAAAAAATCAGCGATGATTTTTTTCTGAGATTTGAGTAAGTCTGCTACTCGGAAGCTCCTGATCTGACTGATCTGAATCATCTGTCATCTGATTAAGTCAAAAGTGAGTTAACCTAACCTACCTATTCAGATTTGCTCCTTTGAGTCTTTTCTATACCTATGTTTCAGGGCAATCCCTTCAGGATGGTATTTAACAATAATTTGCAATAACTTGAGAAGTGATTTGTGCACCTGTTTGTAATTGTATTAAATTCCTAATATAGGTGCAAGCCTGTAAAGTGTAAAGAAACACAAAAGCTTGTACGTTTGTTGATATTTTGAGAATAGGCCAGAGCACTCAATGTCACCTGTTATATAATTTTAAAATTAGGTATAAATAGGGTAATACTAGGTCCTCTAACGTGTTCAATATTTTATATTGTTAAATACCCTTATGGGAGTAGGTAAATGATGCCTCATACAAAAAGGTCACTGAAAATTGAAAAGTCAGGTTTTCTGCCATTAAACTGTCATTCCAGAATCCAGATTTAAATGACTTGGTTTAAGTTGGTTATTCCTACTGGCAAGTGGCAATTCTGGTTGGTATATATATTTATGAAATTATGTGCTAGAATTTTTTCCCAAAATGTAGGTAGAAAATATCTATCACTAATTACGTCGCAGACAAAATAATATATATGGCTCTAGCAGACACACTATTGGCTCTAGCAGACACAGTATTTTTAGTGCCTGGCAGCTAATTTAGTCCTATATTATTTGTTAAAGAACCCTCCCACCTCCCTCCCCTTTGGCATCTGTAGTGAATCCATAATTCAATGTACAGAGATGTTTTTGGTACCGTTGAATGCATCAGAAAAAGCAGCTTTAAGATGAGTATAAGAACTAGAGAATGTCATAATTGGCCGCTTTATGTCAGACGATCCCCTTTATGGTGCCTGGCCAGGTAATTTCAGTCTTTAACTTCACTGAAGGGGCCCGGACACCTCCCCCCCATTACGGGATCTGTAGTGAATGCATAAATCAACGTACAGAGATGGTTTTGGTACCGTTGGATATCTCAGAATGTCAGCTTTAAGATGAGACTAAAAACTGGAAAAGCCAAAATCCAAAAATTTTGACCAGATGCTCCCCTTAACACTTGTCATTATAATCATAGAATTTATGTTACATTTGTAAATTGCTTCAATTAAATTATATAGTCATATATGTAAAAATTTATCCATCATACACTCCCATGTATGATTGCCTGGATGAAGAATAGGCCAAGTTTAGAGGCCCATCATGTCTTTTTTATTCAATTTCTCAATTGATTTAGAGCTTCCCTGAATTTTGAATATCTCAGAATTTGCTAAAAGACAAACAGCTTATTTGCCTTAGTCACCAGACGAATTTGTATTAAGAGTATAAATATACCCGATTTTTGCCAAAACACAAACCCCTATTACTCATTGCTGCTGTAGTTACCTTAAAGTTATGGTTTGTGTACCTCAAAATTTAATAATGAAGCTCGCTATAAAATTACCTGTTATTTGTTTTTTTTCTTCATCTTTTAATCAATTCAAAGTAAGACAACATTGCATGGGACTTGAAATAAGATAACTATTGCTTATTTAGGATATTGTTCATAATTCTGATGCCTTATGGTTTTCCTACAGGGTTCCAAAGGCTGTGTGTGTGAACTACCAACAACTGAATAAATTGGTACCTCACTTCTGTCGCAATCATGTCTTCGACTATAGTCAACTCAACAGGATCGGCTTCTGCTGCTATGCCTGCAGGTGAGTGCTATTGTTTTTTTTCCTTATCAAACTTTTCTCCTTTGGAATAGTGATTAATTATGGCTTATCTGTTACCACAACATGTATACCATTTATATAGCCCATTATAAAGCATGCAATTACATTTTGGAATGGCTTCATGAGTAATCTTTTATAAGTTGCTATTTAGCCACAGCATCTGCACTGCATGCAAGATCTTATCCTATGTGTGTGAATGAATCCCTACACCCAGGAACATGAATGGGCTGTATTATTCAAATAGTGATGCCTTCTGCATGAAACTCTGATATGACTCTATGTCCTTGCATACTGCATCTGAATTACCTACCTAATGGCAATAGCCAATAAGGCATTGAAAGTTAAAAAATATTTCACTTATTTCTTTGTTGGACTTTTCCTGCCTGTTCTTAGCCACACTAGTAGCTTCATTCCCTTCCTGGTCACGTTAGTTCTCCAATGTAACAGCAACATCTTCCTAGTCATGTTAGATCTCCAATGTAACAGCAACATCTTCCTAGTCACTTCCTAGTCATGTTAGATATCCAATGTAACAGCAACATCTTCCTAGTCATGTTAGTTCTCCAATGTAACAGCAACATCTTCCTAGTCATGTTAGTTCTCCAATTTGTAGCAGCAGCTCTCACCTAATCAATTTAGTTCTCCAAACTAGTAGCAACAGCTCATACCTAGCACTAGAATCACTGGCCTAGTTGCAAGATCTTACCTTGTCACATTATGTGTTATTAAGTTGTGTGAGATTTTTTTCTATTGTCTAATCCAAATTTCTAGTTTTGTCTTGAGCTTATTGAAGATTGGCTAGCCAAAAATGTATATATGCTTTCTTCTATTCTGTTATTCTATATCAAAGATCTTCATGATAGAAAGAGAAACAAAAAATAAACACAGCCTTTTGTTACAGCTAAATTCTAGCCTTAAATGAATTAGAGAGAAGGAAATGCATTAGAGGTCAAACACCATCTATGCCTGACATGTAGAGAACTTTTACTCTGCTTTGCTGGTTCTTAAAATTGTTTGCTTGCATTTATGTGTTTTTTTTCCTGTCATGTTATATTATGTATACTTCCTAGACTTGCATTTTTGCACTCCTTCTGCCATGCCTAATACCTATGCTATTTCATTCCCTTGCGTAATTGCATACCAAAAATTTAAGATACATTTTGATCAATTATTTGAAATCATTTAGTTTAATCTTGTCTAGAAAAAACATTTTTTACTGTACCTCCTGTAAACTCTATTAGCTCAGAGGTGGTTGTTTCTTTTTAGATTTTGCTTTTTACAACTTTAAATTTTTGTGTGCATGTAAGTTATTATTGCTTTGTCTTGGTGGCAAATCTAGTTTTGAAATTTGACCATTTCTTATGCTGTTGCCACTCTATTAATAATTTGAACTCAATGGATTTAAAAGTAACAGGCTTAATTTTTGTTTGATAAGTTCATTATACTATACAGTCCACGGTCATCTCAATCATTATTGCTTAGATTTGCATTATGAAATTATCAAGGATTGTTAATAACCCCATAAACAACCATTCTTGCTTATACACTTTTTTTGCTTCGCACTGACTTTTGCTTTGTGATGATTCTTTCCTGCACTTATTTTTTTATTGCAATTCATTCACTTATTTTTTATTGCAATTATGATTCTGAGATTGTGATTCCATGTCGCTTGGCAAGCTCAAAACCCTGTTTTGCTTTAATTCCTTTTCTGCTTGAACTAACGCATTTGTTTGTGGCTTGTGTTGTTCACAGAGTGCGAGCGCTGCCAGTCCTGTGTTGAGCCTTCCCACTGTCCTGCTTATTGTTTTGCTAACACTTCGTCTAGTGATAGCACCTCACCTAGAGATAACATCTCCCCTAGAGATGACGTCTCGTCTTGTGATGCTAGTTGCGCTGCTAACCCCAACATTCCCTGTACTCACTCGAATGCTATGCACCCAACTTCCACGCCTGATGTCTCGCACAAAGTTTCTGATGCCTTAAGTAATCTTAAGTCAGCCGCCAATGAATCGGATATTGTAACAAAATGTCCCATTTTGATAAGCAATGTAGTCTTGGATAATCCTGATTTTTGGGAGTCGCATGAAGCATCTGCTGAGGAAGATAACGATGTAGCCTTTGAACCTACTAAAGTTTGCCAGGGCCGGGAGGTGTACAACCCAGTTGGTGATGCTAGTTCAAAAGATGATGAAATTGATGTTGTAGAAATCTTTTCAAAGCCTAAAGATAAATGTTGTTCTGATGATAGCTTTGAAGGGCCCAAAGTTGACTCGGCAATGCCTTCAAATTCTGCCGACGAAGATCAATGTGTTGGCATCGATGAAGACATTACATGTGGTTCCTGCACAGCTGAAAAGCTTAATTATTCTGTGACAGACTTTGACTGTCGTGGTGATGATGGCTATGACACTAGCATGGAGTGTAAAACTGGTACCTATTTGAAGAAGGCTTGCATTGAAATGATTCTCACGAAATGTAGTGTTGTGGCAGGTGATGATTTCCAGGATTTAAATGACCGCGATTCAGATAGCGACGATTCCCGTTTGAGTAAATCAGATAATGAAGAATCCTGTAAGAGTGATCCAGGCAGAAAGGATTCCGACGAGAGTGGCTCAGATAATGATGAATCCTGTGAGAGTGATTCAGATAACAAGGAATCCAGCGAGAGCGACAGCTCAGACGAGAACGAGATTGTGTCCAACGCGGATGAATCTGAAGACGAAGTTGAGTTCATGGATGACAGCTTCCTAGATTCTGAGGATGGTGAACCAACTGATGATATGGATGATGACGATGATGCTAATGATGACAGTGACGATTCTGTGCAGTTCATGACGTGCGATGATATAGACAGTGACGATGACTTGGGTCTTACATTTGACTTATTTGAAGCTTCGGAACCATCGAGTTCAACAACCGCAAAGTCAGATTCTTCCCAAACCACTGAACACGAAAAGACAATCGCAATGGAAATAGAAGCAGAGCGTATGAAAGTGCAGGCAGCAAACCGACGCTGGGAGGTGTATTACAGCGAGACCAGTCACGAGCGTGTGGTCGCTGGTGTCGTCTTCAAAGTTCTTCCAAAACCCAAAGTCCATTCCCCAAACTGGGGCTGTTTTCCGTCCAAGTCTTCAATGAAAGGTCCTGATAACTCGCCATCTTTGGGCTTCATTCCATGCCGGAAAACCCCTGCTCCGTGTGACTTTTTGAGCGCTGTTTCTTCTCGCATTGAAGTTCTTATGCGGGATCAAGGACCTGATTTGCTGGAGGCTCCTTGTGGCGAACGTGATGGGCCGATCCATAGCAGTTGCGCTTACGAGGCATCAAGTCCTGAGCTACAGAGGTCTTCAGGGGCCGAATTGTCGCCTCAGAAAATGTTCAGTTCGAAAAAACTTGATGTTAATTTTCATGATGGTGAGAACTGTAGTGCCGACCTTATGACCAACGAGGGACAAATAAAGAACGATTCGAATGATACTCACTTGGCTAGTGAGGGCAAAAATGTTCAAATGGTGAGCTCAGATCTGCCAGAGAGCGACTCCAGGTATGACATACTAGCAGGATGCGAGTCAAGTGGCAAGCTTCAAGTTACGTCTTTAGAAGTTACTCTAAATCTCATACCTACAAATTCCTCTTCGGATGACAACATTCTTTTTCCTGGTGAACACAACACCGCGTCAAATGTATCAGAAGGTCCAAGCTCGTCTGAACAAATCTCCGACTCGAATGCCCACTCAAACTTTGCTGTCGTATCTCCTGCTCATGTCGACCGACCATTGCAGTTGGTGATGAACGTGGCCTTGTATGAGACGGGATCGTGCGTTGCGGAACACGGGGTGGACTATGAAGACTTGTGCTACGATGGCGTCATCGAGCAGTTCGATATCCTAGTCCATCCTGACGGCCACAGAGACGCTGTTGCTGTCGTCTCTATCGAGAACTGCGCACCGCTTCCATTAAGTTCATCTTACCCGCCACCCATCACCTCGGCTTCCAGCAAAATGTCTATTTCATCATATGAAGGTGACGAAAAGTCTAGCGATGAAACTGATGCGGGCGATGACTTCGCTTGGACAGAAAACGTTGATTGTAATGGAAGCTTCAAAGTTGCTTCTGATTTTAAAGATGAATTCTTTGATGATGAATGTCCTCAGGACGACGGCGCCGAAATGAACGAAAGTGCTGTGCTGAACCAGGTTCCTGCCTCACTTGAATGTGAGGCAGGGAACCAGCTTCCGGCCTCACCTGAGCATGAGGCAGAGAACCAGGTTGCTGCCTCACCTGAACATGTGTGGGACCAGGTTCCTGGTTCACCTGTGGATAACCCAGCCAGCGGGCGGCGACGTAAAGTAATGTTTAACCTGCGTGTGGACAAGCGTTTGCTACACGCGTTCCTCAGTGAACATCAGGAGGCGCGCAGCGGCAGGTGCTGGATACAATGTGTGGCGGATAGAGCGCGGGAGCGGCGTGCTGCAGGCCGACCTGAGTACGATCCCTCGTCAGATGAAGATGATGAATGATTTGCATCCATTGCTTCATCATCACCATTAATGGAATGGCATATATTGCTTTAGCACATCAACTTAAGAACATCATCGCTCGTCATTTGTTTTCTGATTGTACGTATGAAATTTTTGAATGCGAGTTCGATCCTTCATCCGACGAAGATGATGAATGATTTTCATTTATTGCTATGTGTCATCTTGGTCATTAGTGTGCTGATTTTGCGCATGAAAAATGCGGGATGTTACGCTTGAATTTTGTCGATATTACGCAAAGGCATTGTTTTTTTATGGTGTCGATATTTTTATTGTGTTGGTCATTTGATCGGATGTGTTGAAATTTGCATACTCCGTTGTACGCTCACAAGGGCGTGCTTTTGGTTAATAAATTATATTCCAAGCATTTTTTTCTATTATCGTTCATAGAGATTACTTATCGCATTAATTGAGTTGAAATATTAATGCTCTGGTATCGACAATATTGGTAAACAATTAATATTTAAGAAAAAGATCAGAGCATAGAAGTGTTCAAGAATATTGCTGAACTATTAGTATATCACACTAAAAATAAAGTGCCAGGAAATCATTAGTATTACTAAGCTATTCACATTCTTTGATTCTCGACTCATTTAATATAGCATTTCAGAGAAATTCTCTTGTTGGTTGATTTGTTGACGGAATGTGTTACCACACAGACTAGTGTCTTTCATTAGCGTGGCACCACAGTTACTTGTAATCACCTTATGCGCTGACTGGTTTAGAATAAAACTGATTGATTTGTGAACAATAGCTGAGTAATTTCACTAATTTGTAGATTCTAATTTAGTTTATCGACGTTGTTTTTAAGTTTGATGTTCCCGAGTAACAAACCCATTAATGAAGGAGAGGTTATTCCTCGGAGGTTAGTTTTAATTCCATTGATGATAGCTTGCCATTAGATAAGACCACGCTGTTTTATTTTATCTAGTGCGTTTACTCTTCTGTCTGTCCAGTTCGCTGTGGCCAGTTAGCGTCGGTGCTAAATAACGCTTATTTCCATTTAATTTGTGCTCAGGTTATACTATCTCGGGTTCGGGTATTTATTTGTTTAGTGTAAAAATATTATAGGACTTTGCTCCCTCGTAATTTTTAGTTTATAAGTCAGCACAATAACAACACATGGCTGTGAAATGGTGCTCGTAATCTTTGTTGTTTAAGCGTGTGATCTCAAGTAATGTTGTAAGCAACACGTGTGATCTCAAGTAATGTTGTAAGCAACACGTGTAATCTCAAGTAGTGTTGTAAGCAACACGTGTGATCTCAAGTAGTTGTAAACAGCACGTGTGATTTCAATTAGTGTTGTAAGCAACACGTGTCATCTCAAGTAGAAGTAGTGTTGTAAGCAACACGTGTGATATCAGGAAGTGTTGTAAGCAACACTCGTTAGTGCCGTTATTCGTAATGATTAATTTATGTAATGCTTTATGTTCGTACGAAATAATTTTTAACGATCTCGAGCATTAGCGTGTAGTAAAGAGAAGCTGCCGGTGATTGTCATGTGCTATGATTGCCGAATGTTGTGCTACACGCTGATAGGTCCATATATTTGCACAGCGAACACTGACAGAGCTCTGTCCAACATTGACAGAGCTCTGTCCAACATTAACTGAGCTCTCTCCAACATTGACAGAGCTCTGTCCAACATTAACTGAGCTCTGTCTAACATTGCCTGAGCTCTGTCCAACAATGACAGAGCTCTGTCCAACATTAACTGAGCTCTGTCCAACATTGACAGAGCTCTGTCCAACATTAAGTGAGCTCTGTCCAACATTGACAGAGCTCTGTCCAACATTAACTGAGCTTTGTCTAACATTGCCTGAGTTCTGTCCAACATTTACAGAGCTCTGTCGAACAGTAACAGTGCTGTCGATTGATTTAAAATTAATTATATCTTGAGTGCAACTCTCGCTGGTAGAATTACTCTCTCTTTCCACCCTTGCATAATAGCTAGCACTTTTTCAGCTATTTTTACGTGTAATTAGCTCACTGTTTACAAAATTCATTTAGCAATTAGATGGATAAAGTAGATGCTGTGACGATCGGAAATAATTTGAAGGTGAATGAACTATGCTAGGTTTGCTCGTCTTAGTTGGTGTGCTCTAATTTTAACTACCTTCCAATGTCAAAACAGTAGTTTAATGATGTTTTAGTTGAATTGCTTAGTTTTAATTAGTATTAGTTGAGGTAAATGGCTGCACTGAATATTTTTTCTGACCTTTTCGGGTCATTAAATTATGCTTCTTGGTGCATTATGTCACTCTCCTTTTTTATTACTTTTTAAGCTGACGTTGTATAGGATATGTTTCGAAATAAGGCCTAGGTTCGTTTACTGGTTCTCTTTTGGTTTGTTTTGGTGTAGAGGCGGTAATAAATATGTCTGAGGCTAGATTTCTTTCCATTACCTCTATTAACGACAGGAATGTCGGTCACGTAGCGATTACTGCACGATTGTAGACCATCATGTACGTTCAGATCATTTCACTGTCGTAAAAATGGTGTTTATTAACGCAAGAAGTGAACGGCAGAAAGCTATTGAAAATTTCTTACGTTGAGCAGTTGCTGGTTATGGGGAAATTTCGAGAGTATCTTATCAGAAGAGGAGGAGCTGGCTGCTGATAGTGCTTATCGTTATGCATGCATAACACATAACAGGGCTAATAAGAATCAGTTGGCAGCAGCATGGAAATGCCACGTATTGCGAACCCATACTCAGAAAAACGTTATATTTAGATCATTTGTCTTAAAAGTTCGATACACTTTCTGCGCGTAGCACTGAAACTGGATTTTGCCGAGCCAAGCTGCGTCAAGGTGACCCACACAAGAACATATAGTGCATCGCTATATGAAGTCTAGCTGATTTTTCTGAGTGTAAAGTGTTAACTTGTGGTTGATACCACATGTTACCTTTATACAGTTATATACTCAGAAGGATGACTGTCCGAATTGTGACGCATTTCTTGCTCTTGTGTGATTCATCCTGACAGTTTAGGTCCGAATAAAGGCGTATCAATGCTGCCCACAGGAATCATCGTCACTTTTGGACAGTATGAGCCATTAATTTTTCTGATAGTAACATTGTTGGACCTGGCATCGTAAAACGCCTATTCGTTGATTTGTATTGTTCGGCGATTCATTGATGTCGGACTTATGTTCATTGGCGTATCAAGTTTACGACAGTGTAGCAAAGAGATAGAGAGATAAGCAATTTATGGATCTTGTTATCTTGACTGCACGATGCGTCTTAGTTTATTAATGAACGTGCCACTAAAATAGTCAAACCGCTTTGCCTATTCATAGTCTTAAAATTTCGTTCTATTTATACGTTAATTCCACGAACGATCATGACGCTTAACAGACGTCTGTATAGCGCTGACTATACGTCCCCAACACGCCTAAGGTTCGTAATGAATGCTATACGTTCTTTAAGGATGCTTAATGTCCGTAACGAATGCATAACTTTCATAAGGAACGCCTAAATTTCGTGACGAATACCTAACCTTTCTAACGTTCAGTGTGATATAAGAAGCATCTTGAATAATAGAACAATATTTTGCCATAGTGCATGCGCTCTGTATAGCGCTGACTATACGTCCCCAACACGCCTAAGGTTCGTAATGAATGCTATACGTTCTTTAAGGATGCTTAATGTCCGTAACGAATGCATAACTTTCATAAGGAACGCCTAAATTTCGTGACGAATACCTAACCTTTCTAACGTTCAGTGTGATATAAGAAGCATCTTGAATAATAGAACAATATTTTGCCATAGTGCATGCGCTCTCTACAAGTGTACGTACTACGATACTTGTGCTGTGTAGCAGGAATACTTGCCCCATGGAACTTTACGGTTACGTGAGACCGGTTAACCGGGTTACCTGTATCCTGTAGGATTAATTATTACTACAGAACACTTCTCAGGTCGCGTTGGGGAACACGTTTGTTGAGTAGTGTGCTGCACCAGCCGGTAATGTGGTGGCAACTTTATCCTCACAATAGCCCACGCTGAGACATTATCGTTCTATTTGAGCCACAATATAGTTCAATTGTAGCCACTCCATCATTAAATTTTAATTTTAGCCACACTATCTCCCACTTTGGGCTAGACTATTGTTCAATTTTAGCCGCACTATCGCTCGTGCTCGTCGAGAATTGCTGCTGAAGTTCGCTTCTGTAAACCGCCACGTGAGTTTCGCATGCGGGTGTGGGGGAGGGGCAACCAACATGTGTGGGGGGATGGGGTTTCCCACGCTTTAACTTATCGGGTTTCCCACCCGTTACCTGTTAAGGTCACTACCTATTGATTCTTAATTCTTATTGTTAACACACTATTCTCCACAATTTTAAATAGAATTAAATTTCTTATTTAATGCAATATACGTACTTCAATTTTAATTAACTTGACTTTCATTGGCACGACTGTGGCCGTTGTTACAATCACGGATATTATATATAGCAGGAAGTTTAATAATAATATATTAACTCATTGAAATAATTATTTCTCAGGTGATGTCCGGGCTGGTTTACTCGACAACCTCACCACCACAACCACCAAGTGTAATCACCCATCGCTATTCAGCGCCTCCACCCCATTACCTCTGAACACATCGTACCCACCGCACCACACCACCGCACCACCACACCTCACCACGCCACATCAATACCAGGAGACCACGGCTCTAGACGCGGGTTATTGTTTTGTGGGTCTAGATGACCTACCTTCGTCTGGTCTACCTTGTGGACCTGGACAATCCGGTGAGTAGTTCTTCATCGTTACTTACATGATATAAGTAACAATATATATGATTATATTGTTATTTATATTTGCCCTGTTCATTATAAATAATTTATTTGCCGTTTTATTATTATCAAATTGTTGATGTTCTGACTAGAAGGTATTCATCATTACATTATTATTATTTTTACTTTGTCATAATTACTATTACTTTGTTATTGTTGGTACTAATTTTGTATGCAAATGTTTGGCCGGGTTATTATAAATAATTTACAGGTATACGATGCTTAAAATCATTCATATTATTAAATTATTACTGTTTTTACTTTGTCTTCATTACTGTTACCTCCTTATTGTCGAGACTTATTTTTATGAAAATATTTTGAATCATTTCATTATAAATAATATACGTGTTTACATTGCTGCAAAATCAGTCACGTTGCTTTGTTTCGTAAATCCCGAGGCTTCTTTCCTTCCGTATCAGGCTTTCGTTTTGTTTTAAGTAATTTTAATTTTTTTGTTATACCATTTTCCGTAGCTCTTATCTAACCATGCCTACTCAGGGGAGACTTTTTACGCGTGTCTATGTTCGCCATACGTCTAGTTTTATATACTATATTGTATTACCGCATATATATTTTCTTAATGATAGTAGTTCAACAGACGTCTAGTCTTATACATAGACGTTCTTGAAACAATTTAGGTATGTTATGCGCCCTAGCGGTGCCTGGGACTGCTACGTCCAAACGCTAACATAGTGAGTGAAGCCAAAGAACAGACGATGTCTCTGAAAGAATGAACCTTTAAGTAGGGTTAAAAGTTCAAATAAAGTATATGCACGTAATCTAATGAGTAATTGTGCTAGTTAAGTAGATCAATGTTGTGTTTCTCACCGCGTTACCTGAAAGTACATGTAGATACCATTTATCGTTAGATCGCATGAGAGTTCTAGGGAAAATCCATGTGTGACACGCTTCAAATTCTCATCCTTCGTTACGTAATGCATTGATTAATAAAACATTAATTAATATCTCTTATTTGCCTCTGCAATATACAAAATACAGTCCAGAACGTACAATTCAGATTTTGAAACCGTAAGAAGTATGAAAAATTATCATGAAAATAGTACTCGTTTACATGATTATTGTGTGTGCGGTTGAAATGCAGCTTTTGCTCTGATGCCGATCGAGCGAGTCGTGCTCGAAACCTTATATATTTATCAACACACTCTATGCTCCCGGCTACTATCGTGATGGATGATTGTACATATGTTTTTTGCATGACATTTTGTTTTCTGTGCTTCTCTCTGCTGCAATGCATCATAATTTTTTTTCATTTCAGGTCGTAGTAACAATCTTCTGAGGAAGCTTTCTGGGGCTTTCCGTAGCATGAACCAGCAAGCGACGACTTGGGTGAACCCAAGTTACGTGGCGGGTTCATCCAAAAGCCCCAGGAACCAACGCTACTCCTTCCCCAGTAAACAGACATACAATTCCCACTCCCATACCAGAGAAGCGAAACCCCGGCACCCCCACCCCAACGAGATGTACCAGAACAAGGAAACTGTTATAGGTTTACATGATGGCACCGCAGCTCCGCAAGGGATGTGGAATAACTACGATGTTTTAGGTACTCAGCAAGACGAATTACTGCGTCAAGAGCTCAACCACCAACAGTTTATGGAAGAGCAACGACAGATATACGCCTACTACCAAAACCAGCAACGGTGCAAGGAGATGCACGCAACTTATAGTGAAAATTATTCTAGTGATTTCGATGAAGGTTGGAACATCGTGAACGTTGGAGATTGTATAGATAGTAAGTGTGGTAGTGTTAATGGCAACACAGCGCCTTATGGCGTCTCTAGTGCTAATTTTATGATGGGTAATGTACAATTTTCAGTGGTTGACGTGAACCAAACGTCGCACAGGCTTAATTTTACGTATCCCTTTGGTCCTCATGAAAGTTCACTTCCCCTTCACGATCCCCATCGAGGCAATGAAACTTTCCCTTACGCAGCCATTAGCCACGCATTTACGGTAATGGAAGCTCCAGAGGCGCGTTTAAATGAAGGATACAGACATCCATGTTCTAGCCATCCTAAGAGACGGAGCCCCCTCGCTGGTAACGGAGTGGAGAAACTTAATCATATAAACGAGATGGGCAGCGCGCTGAACCCTGATGCCCAGGAATGGAAAGGCTGGATCGCCAGCAGCAAGCTTAACCCAGAAGCCAAAGAGTGGATCCCAGGTCCAATCACTGATAATATCGTAGTGAATTATCAAGATAAATCGGAACCAACTGCTTTACCTTCTCCACTTGATGAAGAGCAGATGATGAAGGGAATTACAGCTGCTCGTACAAACTCTTCTGGTGATCTAGAGAAAGCAGAAAGTGAGATGCAAAGTCAATCAAGTATCAAGTCTGGTTCTAGCGTAGATTTGAAGGTAGGGAGTTCTGAAGCGGCTGAATTAATTGCGCCTTCGTGTGCCTTGGCAGAGATAAAAATTAATGGAAAAATGCCTGTAAAAACTCCTTCGGTGAATGATTCTTTGCCAGACAAGCAAGACAGCCACATTCGTGAGAAATCTTCAACAAGTCAACCATCCAAGCCTAACAGCGTTGCAACGAACGTTTGTACATTTGAAGAACCG